ATTGAGAGGAGATTGATGGGGTTGTCGTCGGGATATCAAACAGCAATGGAGATTTCGGAGACGTGGGCGGTAGGTGTCCTAGAAACTACTGAAATAGTATAACAAACGCATCTTTACGCCCATTTATTCAGTACAGTTGATATTTTCTATCTGCTTCTCTGACCACTTTCATTCGAACGAGGTCTAAGGCATAGGCTGTATGTTCAAGGTGTGCAGCTCGCTGCGCAACGTTTATGTAGCATCACTCAATTAACTCGTGATTGATAGATAAGCATTGTCACGGCGATCGAATGTTGATGGCGTCTGTAACATTTAGTCCAGCTGACGAGCGCAGCAACGTACGTGGCGTCACTTCACACCTCATCAACAACAGCACATGATCATTCTTCACAATCACAAGTTATAGTTGCTTCATATAAAACATCTCTCTCCCATGGTTAGTGCAGCTTACTACGATACCTCCTTCTACATCAATCTACAGCAAAACAGCTACTCAGCAACATCTCCGGCTTGACACTGACGTCAAAAACTAAAAACCACTTTCTCCAAACATGGATCCCTTCTTTATTAGGCGCCGCGGCAAATCTGGGAAGTCTTCCCGGGGGTATCCTTTCGGAGGGTATCCTTTCGGGAAGGCACAAGGCAAAAGTCATCTTTTCCCCACCGACGAAGAGAAGGCGGAGACAGCTCAAGCTTGGATGAAAGAGAGGACTAGATTACTTGAAAGGCACAATGAGCACAGGAAAGATCATGGTCTTGAGCCAATGCCAGCCGAACGGGCACAACGTTTCGTGCAGCCGCCGAGCGAGTTAGAGGCGTATATCTTCAGTCGATATCGGTCCAACAATGGGTTCAACAGCCCTCTTAACGGCCGTTTAAACAAAAGAGACCGATTCTCAGCGCAAGCGGAATACTACGAGTTGCTGACAGAAGCATATGGTGATGCGGAAGAGTGGGAGAAAGTCTACGCTGATCAGTGGGCCAAGCTCTTCAAAGCACCTCACTTTGGTAGAGGGGACGAACGCCGCAACATAAGGCCCGAATTCTATAATGATGATGACGAAGACGACGATTGTTATGGAAATGTAGAACGTGGAATGCCTCAAGGAATAGGCGAGCCAGTGGACGGAGCTGGAGGTTTTGGAGGTGGGGCTGGTATGCGTGTACCCGGTGGTATGGGCCCTGATATTCCCGGTGTGGGCTTTGGTGCTGGCTTCGGCGGTGGCAAGAGGCGTGGGCGTCGATAGTAAGCTCTGCCGTATTCATTCCAAAACAAAAACATCTTTGCTAGTAGTGATCATGCATGAATATCACTTGCGGTCTCCACAATCAGGTTCTGAAATCAGCAAGCCAGACCTCTCGCTCCTTCGCGGCAAATGCTCTTAATAGTGAATGATGTTCGTGTCATGATTGTATTCCACCCTGGGAACCGATTCAAAGTCCATGAATAATAGAAGCATACCTAGATATCTTGAATTGTTTGAAAGCATCCATTGATTGTTGTCTGTGCGACTTTGTTGTGACAGTTTACCGCATTCCTCTAGCCTTTAATGACGGAATAGTTGCACATCAATTTGGCCACGACATCCATTCATGACTGACTACATGAATAACTTCACAAATGACTCCAAGTATGACTCCATGTGTGACTCCATCGTTGACTCGAACGGTTTAATGCTCGCCCATTGAAGCATGCACTTGGAGTGCGAGAAGTTACTTCACATGTGCTGACCCTAAAATACCACGTCACCCGCTCCTTGCAACCTCGTAAAATATCCTGGAAAGATCTCTCAATCATCAACCATCCACTTACTGTCATACTCGCAACCGGGAGTACTGCATTCATCAAACATCATGCTTTCAGGCTTATTTTCTTCCCGGAATAAAGCCTACCCTAAAGCCACAGCGGAAGGAAAGAAGTCAAAACCACCCAAAAGCTCCTCTGAGAAGACAACGAGAGACCGCAGATCGGACAAGCGCAAGTCATCAAGCCGCGTATCGGTCGAAGGGCCGATGTATCCTGAAGCACCTATGCCACCGGTTTCGGGTGATGCATGGACCAAGTTCGCAACAGATTCAGATCATAGTAGCTCGCGACGAGGCCACTATACATCTTCTGCACACCGATCGCCAAAGGTCGCCCGCGATAGCTCAAATACTCGGAGTCGGGTCGACGAAGAGTATGTGTGCACGTCGTCTCAGCGGGATGGCGGCGTAGCAGGAAGCAGCAAGAGCCGTCATAAGCAACGCGACCGCAGCGATAGGCATGCAGAAGACGACAATAGCCGACACTATAGCTCTTCCCACCGATCAGAGAATCTAGGCGCAAGTCACGCCTCATCCGCTCATGGCTATGGGAGGCACCAGGAGTACGATGGGTACGATGCAGAGTTCCACAGAGGCTATAGCAACGAGGATACTTCACCCGAGGCTTCATTCCCCAGAGGAGGCGCTGCACGCTGGAGAGAAGCAAAGGAGGAGACCATGACCGGTGCCAAAATAGGCAGAAATGGGGTTCCGAAGTACGGTCCGACTAGAGAGCGTCTTTATCCCCAGCGCGAGGGCTGGTACAACATTATAAATGTCTCTCCGAGCTGGAAGGGGAACCCAGGCGCAGATTGAACTTGACGGAATTCTTGGTGGTTGTATTCTAGAAGACAGGATCTTATGCTATCGATCTATATATTCCAAAGTATACCTTAAACATGGATATCTGCAATGTCGAATTTTGCATGCCCCCTTGAGCTCTGCTGCTAAAGTTTAAATGAGACTCGATAATATCGATGCACCGTGTCACTTGTTGGCGACAGGTAGTAGCAAGACTGGTGATGAATGACGGTAGGAGACGTAGCTAAATCAAGCTCGACCTATGCTCAAAGAACTCTCGTGGTTGTTACTCATACCAAGTACGTAGTGTGATTCACGCGTCGCTTCTGTCACCCGTGAGTCTTGCGTTACTCACTAAGATATCGATGCTGTCAAATTCTCCATTGACACAATAAGTGAAGACGGTTTAGGACTCCATGACTTGCATATAGTCAAGGGTGACGATTCATATGAAGCTCATTCAAATATGCCGTGGGACACCTTGCTTTCTCGGTCGCTGTCCAGCATGCTGTCTTTCTGATAATCTGAATCCGAAAAATTCTTTGATGCACAAACTCCCCGCAAGTTAAAAATGAGCTTCTCCGCGACCCATATAGACAAAAAAGAAAGTAAATGGATCCGCGACGAAGAAAAAGGCACTGAACGCAGAAAGCTTCGCGTCAAGAAACCTGAAGACTTCCACAACGACAGAACGAAAGGTTCTAAAGCAAAGAGTCGCGAATTAAGTCCATCTACGGCTAGTATACCGGCATCAGTTGCCCCACTGCTTTCACCTGCCGTACATGCACGAAGCGCGAGTTCAGCAAGTGCGGCACCAAGCCATATCCAAAGGACGACCTACTCACGACCCTTACCCGGGATCGTAGCTTACAGTCAACATGCTGTGAGACCCGTCAGTGGCGCTCAAACTCAAGGACCCACAAGACTGAATCTCACGACTCCATCGCACACCGAGAGCGTCGCTCATAGTACTCATAGCACCTACCCCGGGAGCATGATTAACGACGCTAAGAGTTATGTGAGCACCAGCAGTGCCGTGCAAGATACCGTACCTCCAGTCCGTCATTCACATCCTCCGCAAGATGTACCATCACCGTCCCAAAATTCGAATGGCTCTCGCACCCCAAGCGTTGCAAGTGTAGCTCCGAGTACGGCCCCGAGGAGGCACCCGGCTGTGCTTCCGTCAAGAGATAGCTCTCGCGCACCGAGTGCTGTAGATGCCACTCTCAGCAAGGTATCCGAGATATACCCGTCTTTGCCCCCGTCCCGAGATAGCTCTTGCGCCACTCAAAGCAGGGTACCTGGAAGCACGGCACCCGCGTCGGAGTCAAGACTTCTAACGTATCGCGCCCCAAGCGTTGTGACCGTCACATCAAGTACGATATCGGACCAGCACCCGCTTTTTCCTGCGTCAACTGCTTCAAGCGTGATACACAATTTGCAGCCGTCTCGTTCTCCGAGTGTCGCTAGTGTTGCCCGAAATACAGCACGGGAGGACCTTCGTGTATTACCTACGCCTGCATCTAGGAGTTCTAGTATCGCGCCGAGCGGCGTTAGCGTCAGAAAAGAATCGTCGGAATACTTGCAAGAGAGACACTCCCGGGATCCTTCGCGAGCACCGTCCCTACAACCTCAATCTTCACGAGCTCCATCTTCTCGAGCTCCATCGTCGCGAACGGCTAGCGTAGTACCAAGCATTCGAAGCGAACATATTAGCAGCACTATCAGCGAAGCTCAACTCCGCGCCCATGAAGACTACGCCAAATCGATAATCAGCTGCGGTCCAAGCGAAGTGGGAAGCAGTACGAGGAGCCGCAGACCAAGTGATGTTCTGCCCAGCGAAAGATCTACCTCTTCAGTCTCCCAAAGAGCCCCCAGTATCGCTGCCAGCACAAGGAGTACCATCAAATTGGGTCGCAGTGAGCGAGATAGTAGTATTGCTTCGAGATCCAGAAGTCATATCGACGAAAATGACTATGAGTCAAACATGCAACTCGTATCAAGTTCGAAACGAGCCTCAAGTATCAAATCTGGTCGGACTGAGCGAGGCATCAGCTCCGCGTCGAAAGCCAGGAGTCATATCGACGTCAATGACCATGAGTCTAGTGGCGAACGCGCGCCTACATCGAGACGAGCCTCGAGTAAAGCAAGCAGCTTTAAAAGTAGCAGACAAGCGTCTCGTGATGACCGTGGTCGCAGTACTACATCTCGCACTAAAGGTTCCTACGATGAGTCAGCTGGAGTGAGAGTAACTTACAATAAGCATGAAGAAGCCAGACCCAAGAGTCAATCTCGCTCGGTCCGAAGCAGGTCGGTTTCGAGATATCGCAGTGACTCAGTATCAAGCATCGAAACCGTCCGGCCAGGCAAAGACAATGCTCTGGTAGCGTACCATGGCAACGCCCTTCATACTGCCGAAGCTTCGAAAGATAATGTGCGTCTTCGATCATCCAGGCGCAAGAAGAAACCCGACATCGATGTTCGTTCGTATGTTGGCAGCGACAACGTGACCGTAGTTCTCCCGGACCCTTCGGAGGTCAGCAAAGCGGGGCCCGCACCTGGATCGCGCGATCAGCAGAAACAGCAGCAGTATCTTGATGAGTACCAGAAGTGGCAGCAGCAAGAGCGACAAAGTCAGCAGCAGTATCAGCAACGGCAACAGTACCAGCAACAGTACTCGCAGCCTGACCCGCATACGTATCCGCCCCAGTACCAACAACAACCGCAGGCGTCTTACCCTACTTGGGGCACACCAGGGGGGTATCCGCAATATACAAACCAACAGTATGCGTACCCGCCATACCCGGACCCACGATATACCTATCCTCAGCCCACCGCTCAACCATCTTATCCAACCGGGGGTGCACGTTATCCGTCGCCGTACGTGACACCTACGCCTCAATACGAAACGGGGTATGAGAAACTGGGCGAAGAATTTGAGCAAGGTCGGAAAAGCGGTCGCTTGCCCAAGGCCCGGGATAAGCGACGTGAGAAAGTGGAGCGGCCTAGGAGGACAACTCGCCTAGGGGCAAAGTATGAAGAGCCACCAGAAATATACGAATCGAAGTACGATGATGGCGAGTTCCCTGACCGTTGGTTTGATAATTAGGCTTGATGGATATCGGTGGTTGAAGGGGTTGAAGGTTGAAATGCAATAGGTATGATATGGCGTATGCTGTTGCGTAAAGCAGGAACGATAGTCGCAAAATAGGTGCTGGGCCATCTGGGAATGTCGAAGTAGAGGAAAGCGTAGAGTTGGTAATCAGGTAGACTCATCGATGTGTATGTTGACCGGCTTGTGAGTCACTTTGCGTTAGTCATGCAGAGCATCTCGTTTGATGTAGAATTAACTTACCCTTGCTATCATGCTCTAGACGGCCTCTCGAGGATCTTGCACTTCGCGAAGTCAACACGTATTGTACTGCGGAGTGATGCGTACAAAGCTACTCATAGCTGCCGGTGTGATCGAGATCGCCGTGTATGTTACTCAACGTTGCAATGGAAGGGACAGATCAATAGAGAAATTGAAGCCAGTCACTGAAGTTGACTCCAGTATAACATATATGCAAAGGCCATGAGTGCCCTGACCGTGAACTTTCTGGAAAACGTTTGTCGCACGGCCTGCCAATGCTGTCAATAACATGCCCATCCAATGTCGACCCTTTGAATGCACAATGTCACATACCGTCTGCAAAGAGCGCACACTCAACTCCATGTACCTATAAATGCCACATCAGGGTACCAGGTCTTTCTCCATAACACATCATACAGCCCCTAATTCGATATCCGCTTTTGTTGGAAGCACTTTCTCGACCTACACTATCAGTCAAGACTCGTATACCCTCATCGAAGAAGTCATCCATCAATATCACGATGCCGACTTTGAAAAAAGATGCAAATGCAGTTACAGGCCCAGCTATAAAGCGGAACGTCCAGGACATCGGCAAATCCAAGACTCGGGGACTATACCAAATCCGCCCAAAAGTTGTCACCAAGAAGACCAAGACCTTTAGCCTGGTGAGCAAGAAGAATGGGCCTAAACAGGAAAACGCAAATGTCCAGGAGAATGAGCGCTACACTGAAACCGAAGCCGAAAGGGTCGCTAGGCAGGACTACAAGAGAGCCGCAGAGAAGCGCGAAGCTGAGCACGGGCGCGACTCGGTCCGCAAGCACACTTTAAAACCTCAAGAGTACAGTGCCGCCCCTGGCCAAAGACAGTTCAAGAACAGATCGGTGTGCGAGACCAGGGATTACAATCTATCGGGAGAGCAGATTGGGGAATTGCGTTGACTAGACGTGTGAGGGTGGGTGGGGGAGCCTTGAGTGCCGGCACTCTCGACATCTTGCTATTATTATGGGCGATCATGGGTTCTGCAGCTTTGCGTTTTGTTGTTTGCGGAATATGGTTCGAGTTCGGAGGCGTTTGGCGTACGGTGGATCGCGCTGGTGTCCATTATATCAAGGGTATCGTCGATGGATAGGATATCACGAAGAACTGTGATTGTTAGTAGTAAATTTGAAGATTGCTGCATATTCACCGTTTGAGTCGTGGTCCATATAGTGCCACTGCGCTTCTCCAGGCCAAAGCATTCCTTTTCCACTCGTCGACGATCCTAAACAGCAGCTCTTTCTACCGACGCCAGCTTCGACATCCCATAAGTGCGTCTTCTGTACATCATCGCATTCCTGTGTCCATAGTGTCAACAGCATGGGCTTCTTCAAGCGACTCTTCGGGGGAAGTAGGACGCCACCTCCCATTCACTTCGGTAAGGTATTCAGGATAGCCTACTAGTTCACTGCTAAATAAGCAGGTTCATATTCTGCATACGGTGGATACGATGGATACCCTGCATATGGAGGGTATCCTACATATGGAGGATATCCTGGATACGAAGAACCAAGACGCAGAAGGAACGCGTACGATGTCGGTTACGATTCCGATGAGAGCCATGGTGGTTATCGATATGGTGGTGCTCGGCGACGATACCGCAATGGATCAGGAAGACGTGGTAAGTGACATTTCCGTGAGCTGTTTCCGCGCCCAGTGTTGGATCGATACTTCCTCTTCCATTGTCCCGACAGTCATCATGCCTCAGTATAAGATCGTTGTGGCTGTTTCTTCCTTTATGTACCCACCGCATTCTCATCAAGCACCATGGCACGAACGAAGAAGTACTGGGTACGCAAGCATGTCCCATCAATTTGGGAAGGATGGAGCAACAGTCGGCGAGCTCATCAAATAGATCAGAGAGCGAAACACTCTAGGCCACACGAAGAGATGATGGGAACGCCAACTCGTACAATCTGCCATGTAGTAAGCAGAACCGATAGGAAAGAGCTGACCATGAGACAGGCAACCCGGCTGGTGGTCCGCCAGGCTTCGTACCCGTTGGCAATAATACCAATAGGGGCAACAGTGGCAACGTTCCAGCGCCGCAGCGTGCTCATAACGCACCGAACCAAGCACCACCAGCTCGAGGTCCGGAAGTTCAGGGCCAAGGTCAGGGCAATGCTCAGCCGCCGCCGCCGCCGCCGCCGCCGCAGCAGCAGCAGCAGCAGCAACAGCAACAGCAACAGCAGCAACAGCAGCAGCAGCAGCAGCAACCCGAGTTCCACCAAATGCCCGCTATGAACAACGCTCGCGGCCCACAACCCGCAGAGGCGGATCCTCATCTGCAACCAGGAGAGCAGGCCGAATTTGGCGAGCGGCCAAGAGGGCAGGGCCGAAGCGAGTATGCTGATGCTGAACCCGCTGCTCCTGATGGCGGGCGGGGCGGAGGTGCGCCTGACGATAGACCGCCTCAGCACCCGTGGATGCCAGAGACGCGGTTCTATAATCAGCAGCAGACGCGAAGAAGAAGATAATGATGATGACGCAAGGTGAAATGAAGATGGAATGAAGAGGATGGGTGATGAGAGTGGAAGGTGCGCTGAGCGCTCAAGCTGGTATGATTAGCTATCTCTGTAATATGCATCTCGATATGTCTTCTTCGAACCGACTGCAATGCATCGTGAACAAGTATCCGACAGCGCGCGTGGTGTGATGACAGTGACGAGACGTGAAAGAGTGAGGGTGAAGGAAGGTTGGTGCGGCGGCGACACGGGAAGGTCTGGCCGCGGGCTTATCGATTAGGCCGCGCCCATCTCCAAAATTTCCACCAGCAGTCCGACACCAACAACACCGCCAGACACCGCCAAACAACGCCCACGATGCCGAAACGAAAGCGCGAGACGACTGCCGCCGCCGGGAACCTCCCCCCTCCCGTGATCATGAACCCCGCGAAACAAGCCAAGTACTGCCAGAAGCGCCTCGAAGATGCGCAAAAACCGCTGCTCCAAGCTCTGCGCCATGCTTCACAGCTCGAGCGCCAGAAGTACAGTCGCAGGAAGAAGTACGCGACCAAGAAGGGACAGAAAGAGGCAGTATTCCGCCTGAACGCCGAGTACAATGTTCTCAAGGCGCTCAACTTGGAGCAGCTGGGCGACCAGCATTTGCGCAAAACTTTGTCACGGGTCAAAAGTTTGAAGGATGCGGAGCCACTACAGGAATACATCTCGGGTATTAGAGAGGGAAGCAAGGATACCAGCACTCTCAATGTCACCGCGAGAATGTTCAAAGTCGTACAGGTGAAGAAGGCCGTGGATCAGGTTATCGAGGACCTGAAGGGCATACTTGGGGTGGACAAAGCCAAGGACAACGAAAAGGTGGAGGAGATCGTTAAGGAATATACCACAGAGGAGATGAAGAAGCACAAGGAAGAGAAGATGGCGAGGAAGGCGCAGAGGGTGAAGGCTGCTGACAAGGACGACGTCGAGATGAAGGACGCGAGCGACGAGGCGGACGATCCGTACATGGCCTTCAGCGCGCGGATAGCTGCGCCGTCCTCGGGAGAAGAAGACAACGAGGGCTCGGTATCCGGCGATGAGCGACCGCCTAGTATCGCAGACAGCGAGAGCGAACACGACCCTGACGCCGATCTGGAAGCTGCGAGCGACAGCGAGGACGAATCGGAGGAAGTCGCACAACCAGACGACACGAGCGACGACGACAAAGAGAACAGCGATACTGTAGCCATCTCGCGATCAGTAGCCCCTGCCTCCGACGAGTCGGCCGATTCAGCCTCAGCCTCAGACTCAGACTCCTCCGAAGCCGCTCTACCAACGAAAAAGACCAAAACCAAAGCCACCCTCGAGAAGCCCACCTCCTCCGCCTTCCTCCCCGCCCTCAGCCACGCCGCCTACTTCTCCGGCTCCGAATCCGAAGCCTCAGACCTAGACGCCGACAACGCACCGCGCAAAAACCGCCGCGGCCAACGCGCGCGCCAAAAAATCGCCGAAGCGAAATTCGGCGCAAAGGCCAAACATCTCGAGAAGCAACAGCAGAATGTGAAATTCGATCCCAAACGTGGCGCCGTTGCCGGTGACGACAAGCGACAGCGACGGGGCAAGCCGCTGGGTGGCCGGGGTGTGCAGCAGAGTGGAAGCAATGCGGAGCCGTTGGGCAGGAAGGATGATAAGAAGGATAGGAAGATGGGGCTGGGTGTTAAGAGGGATGATAAGGGTGAGTTGCATCCTAGTTGGCAGGCGGCGAAGTTGGCGAAGGAGAGTAAGAAGTTGAAGATTGATCTTGGGGGTAAGGGGCCTGCGGCAGGGAAGAAGGTGGTTTTCGATTAGGTTAGATACCCCAGAAAAGTTTGCGCGGGTGGTTTGTTAATGAGAGGGCTGTTTCGTGCATGATGCGTCGTAAGGGTCATTGAGATCTTGTTCGTGTAAAATGGGTGTCTAGCAGAGGTATCATTCAGCGTCACTATGAAGATGTCAAAAAGATTCTCTGAAGAGAAGGACGAGAAGCTGAGTCTTTACGCATTACGCGACATGAACTAGCTATGCTACGGTATACGTCTGCCTAAGCCATACCATCGTTTTCAACCCTCAATCCTAAGACCAACCATCGAACCCTTCATGTCAACGGTTTACTCATCGATGCGCAAACGCACAAACGACCGAGGACCAGCTCACCGCATCACCGGCACAACTGCGGGCAGTAGTCCTGACAAGTACCGCGATACCGTCCATGCCGACCGTCTTCAACCAGATACCTCTTCATCCTGTTGAGGCATTCGTGGCGGCAGTAGTTTGTTCTGCACTTATGGTTCTACGGCAATCTTAGTCAGTGCGAGGAGGGGAGGGCGATGGGGGAGTGTGGAGTGGCGGGTGGTGGGTTTGACCCACTCTGAAGCAATCATCGCGCATCCTCTTACATTTTGTGCAGGGGAGATCGGCTTTGTTGGGGGAGTCCTGGCGTTTGTTAGTATACACGGGTTGGAATAGGAAGGGGTGGACGAGGGGCTTACGGCGTCGATGTCGTCTTCGTTGGTGTCCTCTTCGTCGGTCTCGTCGCGAGACAGAACGGTCTGAGCGACACACTGGGGCGCAGCTCCACCGATACAGGTCTCGGTGGCTTCGCAGACCTTGGTGTTAACCCACTTGCGGCCATAGCAGCGTTGGATGATGTGCCGCTTGATCGGATCGAGGTAGGCGCACTGCTGGGTGCCTTCAAGACAGACTTGTTGTCTGGATGAAATCTCGTTGGCGGCGACAGCAGAGGTCTTGTCCTTGTCAGCGATCTCACCGTTGATGGTCGCGAGGGTACAGTGAGGTGAAGGGTCTGAGTTACAGATGGCCCCGACATTGCAGATCTCGTGGTCGACCCAGTTGTGATTGATGCAACGCTTGATGGAGTGGCGGCCGAGAAGGATGATCGGGAGGATGGAGCACTTCTCGTCGCCGTTGTGACAGTCTCCGCTGGCGGCAGATCCGGTGATGTCTTCGGAAACACCAGTGATGACGGCGCCTGAGGCGATCTCGAGGACACCCATGAGAGCAAGGAGGAAGATGGCGAGGAGCTTCATTATGAGCCGGTAGTGTGTAGGGGTAGGAAAGTGATCAAGAAAGCAGTGTATGGGATGCTCAGAGTAGATTTTTGAGGAGGATATATTCGAGAGAGTTTGAGATATACCAAGCTACTGGCTATAGGCATAAGAAGAATCTGCACTGAAGTTGGCCCACCAAAATCCAGGTGAAGGCGAGGAAACACGTCACAAAGTCGCGCGCTTTTCTCTAAACTTGCTCATGGGTGACGGCTGGTCCTTAGTATGTCATAGTGGAAAAGGGTACTGAAAATTGCTCAGCAAGGCCCGCCCTTGGTCGCTATGGAATGCCGCGTGATGTTCATCCATTTCGCCCTCGCACTGACTTTGGGCCGGAATACGACGGAGCATTTCTTAAAGTTGCAATGCCGCTTTCCAGATCATTGTGCGGATCTCAGATGCGTCCTAACAGCGCGTCGAGTTGTTTTGAGGCTGTTTGTTGTCGCTTTGAGATAATGGCGTGGTCGTGGTCGCGTGGTCACGTGTTACCGATGTCGCGTGTCGATCGGCTACACCGCGATTGGCCGCGGCCCTCTCTTCCATCTCATGCTGTGTTGGCACCCCGCTCAAGGGTCAAACTGAACATCCATTTGAAGCAGTCAACGTACGAATTGACATCGTCCGTGAATTTTTCGAAAGTACATGCTAACACTAACGTCAATTGGGGTAGACCAAATCGATTTTTCACTGTTTAAGGTGCTCGCGACTCCCCGCACCACATCCGTCAAAGACATGTCGCAAGAAGAAGGAGAGCCTCCGGAATGGAGGCGCGGTTATCCCACGGGAGTTAATGAGCTCGCAGGGCTTGTGGGGTTTGCTCGAGAGCGATCGTGTCCATTGGCTAGGATTGACGGATCCCGCAACGGGCATGACTTCGTGAAAGAGCAACGTGGACGAGAAGATATTCCCTCTCCATTCATCCTATTGGGCATGGCGATCCTTTCGTGAAGGTCGACTCATTGGAGGTCTTGAGACGGGCGATTTCCAGCAACAGCGAGGATGTTGAGACGTTGTACTTCCCGGGCCAGGTCCATGTCACAGAGTCAGTCATCTAGCGCGTAGCGCCACCAGCGCTGCAAACATTCCAATAAGCTGACGAGGTACCTGCTACAGCCAAATGATAAAGGTAATCACCGACGCTCCATTGGAGTTCCGAAAGAAGGTCTGCAACATCTATTGCGGCGATCCATCGCGCAACAAGGCGCTAGAAATCACAGACGAAACTGTTGTTGCCATGATCGAAGCGTTGCCGAACCTAGAACACGTGCGCATAGATGGTGCACCCAAACTTACCGACCGCACGCTTTCAGCATTGCTGCGTTGCGATGGAATACGGGCGATAACCCTAACCACAACCCGCGATCAGCCAAACACGTTGAAGAAAGAAACGCTGGAAAATAGTCCATGGCCACCAGAGCTGTTGTTTTTCGAGCTTAGCGGCCAGCAGCTGCCCGGGGATATTATCGACTACTTCGAGTATTGGAGTAGCGAGAAGAGAAGCGCAACACTCGGGGCGAGCCTGGAGATTGTTTACAACTTCGGACCATACTACATTTTCTGGCGTGACGGGTTCCCACGGTGGATCCAAGACTACGATTTCCAGAAATGGGGGGCATGGGATCCTGATTTCGACTAGATGTAGTGGCTCCGCGCGTATAGGACGGACGTGTCCGGCCGTATTCAACATCAACTCGAGAGAATTTTGATTACGCGTAGCTGGCTTTCGTGAGATTGTTTCGTACCATACCCCTCAACGTTATCTCGGCCGGGTGGCGCAGTACAACGCGTCTGTGTCAATAAAAGCCCCTGAACTGCGCCTCAAGATTATCGCTCAAGTGGGGCTGTCAGAGCCTAGCTCATCCGGAAGGGAGCATCCGCGTGCCAAGTAAAGCTTAAAGAAGCTTGACATCCTCCGTATAGATGGTGAACGCCTCATCCAAACCGTTGCATTTGTTGGAGTTTGACATGCC